ATTTCTGTCATGTACTATACTCATTTTTTGTCATGTGGCTATACTATTTCTGTCATGTACTATTACTATTTCTCTCATGTACTATACTATTTCTGTCCTGTACTATACCTATTCTGTTCATGTACTATACTTATTCTGTCAATGTACTTACCTAATTTCTGCATGTACTATACTCCTTTTCTGTTCATGTACTATACTATTTCTGTCAGTACTATACTATTTCTGTCACTGTACATTAGCTATTTCTGTCATTGTATCTATAGCTATTTCTGTCATGTACTATACTAGATTTCTGTCATGTCTATACTATTTCTGTCATGTACTATACTATTTCGTCATGTACTATACTATTTCTGCTCCATGTACTAGTACTAGTTTCTGTCATGTACTAACTATTTTTGTCATGTTACTATACTATTTCTGTCATGTGTTATATACTATTTCTGTCATGTTACTATCCTATTTCTGTCATGTACTATACATTTCTGTGCATTACTATACTATTTCCTGTCATGTACTATACTATTTCTGTCATATACTTTAAGCTATTTCTGTGCATGTAAACTATACTATTTCTGTCATGTACTATACTATTTCTGTCATGTACTATACTATTTCCTGTCAATGTACTATACTATTTCTGTCATGTACTAACTATTTTGTCGCATGTAACTAATACTATTTCTGTCATGTACGATACTATTTCTGTCATGTACTATAACTATCTGTCATGACTATAACTATTTCTTGTCCGTGTAACTATAACTATTTCTGTCGTGTACTATACTATTTCTGTCAATGTACTATACTATTTCTGTCATGTACTATACTATTTCTGTCCTGTAACTATACTATTTCTGGTCATGTACTATCTATTTTCTGTCATATACCTTTTACTATTTCTGTCATGTACTATACTATTTCTGTCATGATACTATACTGATTCTGTCATGTACATATACTATTTCTGTCATGTACAATACTTTTCTGTCGATGTACTATACTATTTTGTCCATGTAACTATACTATTTCGTCACCTGTACTATACTATTTCTGTCATGTAGCTATAGCTATTTCTGTCATGGTGCTATACTATTTTCTGTGGAATGTACAGTACTGTACTATTTCTGTCATGTACTATACTATTTCTGTCATGTACTATACTATTTCTGTCATGTACTATAACTATTTTGTCATGTACCTATACTATTTTTGTCATGTACTATACTATTTCTGTCATGCTACTATACTATTTCTGTCATGTAGCTATAACTGATTTCTGTCATGTACTAAACTACTATTTCTGTCATGTACTATACTATTTCTGTCATGTACGATACTATTTCTGTCATGTACTATACTATTTCTGTCATGTGCTATACTATTTCTGTCATGTACAGTACTGTACTATTTCTGTCATGTACTATACTATTTCTGTCATGTACTATACTATTTCTGTCATGTACTATACTATTTTTGTCATGCACTATACTATTTCTGTCATGTACTAGTTCTGTGCCTGTGACATCTGACACTGTCATAAAACTATAAACTAATACTAATACTATAACAAACCGTCGTTTGTGTTTGTAGTTTTGCACTCACCCCCAAGTTAATGTTAATAGTAAGTATCACACACTTGTACGTACACTCCCTCGTTATGAACTTAGTTGGGATTCTTGCTTTTACTCACGCATCTAATTACTGTTAAATACATACATCTATTTATATTCATTTGGTAGAACACACAATTCATATCTATGTTCTAAGAACTAAATTTAACAATCGGATGCGCGCGTGGCACGTGACAGAGAGACAGCTTCCGGTGAAAAAAATATCGTCTGCTCTTCCTATGCGAGGATCCCGATCACTTCCGCTCATAGAATTTAGCGCCGATGTTGTGCGCCTGCGCCACTATTGTACTGCTGTATAACGTATAGTATTAGTGTTATAATATAATAGGTTCATCGTGTATATATATAACGTGATGTGAACCCAATCTTCGTGTTTTGCCTGTGCTTGAGGCGTTTTTAGATGAAATTTGTTTTCACGGCTTCAAGCGAGAGATTGCTGGTAGAAGTCACGTCAATCCGCTTCGACGGTGTTGAAATCTATCATATATGTGTGATATCACCTTCACATCATGAGAGATGTTACCACAATAATATCACAATATTAGCTTAGGGGAGAACCCACGGAATCGCTCAATAGTATATCGCCGTACACATATTATATATTTATTATGTGTATATAATATTATGTGCATATAATATGTATATTATCAAGAGCTAATAATACCAAGGTATTGTTATATAAATCCTAGGTATTATATTAGCTCTTGATATTATATACACATTTTAATATTAACATTTCGATTAATATAACGATCTTATAATTTAGAATATAATAATCGATGATTGTATAGCGAAAAAACGTCGGCTGCGACAGGCAAGCCGACGAGGAAAATTTGCGCGCGCAGTTGCGGCACCAGCAGCCTCCTTCTCGTTTGCCGCTACTAAACTCTAAGCATTGTTACGGATATTTATTTTCCGGCAAAACGAAGCCTATATTCACGGTAACGCCTGCACACTTACCTGAAACGTGAGAAATAAAACGACGGATGGATATCAGAGATCGATCTGCCTGACGCTTCGCCTGCGATATGTCGCTCGCTCCTTCTCTCAGACACACGGAACCACCTGGCGGCGAATCGCAGTTCGTGACGTCACTGCCCACGACGGAGCAGTCTCTTCTCTCGTCTGCGTGGTGCGTTCTATTGCGTCGGCGCGTAGGCGAAGGGTGAACGTGAGAGACGTGCAGGGACAAACACGGACGTCGGCCCTGACAGACGCACGCGCGCGCGCACGCGACGTCCGTCAAATCACCACGAGCGCACGCATCCGCTCCTGATTGGCTGATCGGCCGATGAGGCCACGCCCACAACGTAGGGTACGTGTGGGGGGAGTTTTCTGCGAATTGGATCTATTTTCCTGGAGTCTTAACGTTGACGGGGAAAACGTGCCGGTGGTTGGATAGCATGCGAGTCTACAAATCGTTGGCGTCGTGCCAGAAGTACTAGACCTTGGTTTCGACCTTAACCGACCTTAGTTAGGTGCATTACTCTAGTACGTGTAAATTGCTTAGTGTCAGGCGTCTCCCATCTGGAGTAGGCCTATCTTGCATAGCCTCAACCAAGGCTTGAGAATGAGGCAATAAGCTAAACATAGACTGGAAACACTACACTCGTCACACTCGTCACGTCGATGTGATTCCGCGCTTGGTGACGCCAGAGCACGTATACCATAATTATATGCTAGATATAATTATGATATACGTGCTCCGATGACGCGCGATGAACGCCATCTCGCGGCGAAAACATCGCTCCGCGATGCGTTCTTCCTGCGCATCTGCGACACTACTGATGTTGCGCGTTATCATCTGCTTAGAGGACATCTCATGAATCCATCGACGATTCTCTGCTCCGGCGGCCTGACTGAATTCATTTTCCGCGGGGAAAAATGTTTTTCCGAATATTAAATTTTTTTCTCCTCGTCAATGCGCTATAATTGGCTGTATTGTGCAGTAATAGAATTGTACCGAACAATAATAAACCTGACAGACATTTTTTCGCTGGTGTTTTCTTTCAGAATGAGAGGCCGGGCAGCCGGCTTTGATTGGCTGATCGCGTTTCAATATGATCGCTCACGGTGGGTAGATATTGAATAGATGCGCCCCCTCCCGGTCGGAAAATCCATAAATCTTATCCTAGACAAATAATATCAAGACTTCGTAGATTTTTGTGTCACTTGCTGTATAGTAGCGCCGCCTTGTATTAGGTGCGTTCTCTCTTTGTTTATAACAAATGTTGCTCTTAAGCTTAGAAAACAACAAAGGTTAGAAATCAAATTAAGTTTAACAATATAAAGCTTGGTTTTATGATTTTATTCATTTATATTCAAACATCAAAATTTGTACGTGTACATGCAGCGTGCAGGTAGGTGTTGCTAATTTCTCGTGTTAATCAAACGCAGCGCGGTGTGTATTTATGCTTCGCGAATAGGATTATAGGATATATTTATGCACGCGGGGATGCGGGTACGTGTGGGAGCTAGGCGATAGCATCCAGTGACTCGCGGGAAAATACGAGATTAGTGATTCGCGCCAGTATGTAAATTAGTCATGGAGTACGTGTACGCAACGATGATTGATTACCGTTATTGGCGTCACTGTGCTGGGCTTTTGCGAGAAAAGGAAGGCTGTAGTGAATTACGGGGCTAGAGGAGAACCATTGCATGAAGGGGATATCAGTGGAAGCGAAGGTCTGATTGCTGCAGTAATGACAGCAGAACACTGTATGCGATAGTGTACTCACTGCATAGCGTATGTCACGCGACACCGCAATTCAAACACAATCATGTTTTTTTTATAAACTTTACAGTTCTACCTCACGCGTTCACGTCACACGTCAACGTCACACGTTTACGTCACACGTCAACGTCACACGTCAACGTCACATGTCAACGTCACACGTCCACGTCACACGTCAACGTCACATGTCAACGTCACACGTTCACGTCACACGTCAACGTCACATGTTTACGTCACGAGTCTACGCCACAAGTCTACGTCACGCTCGGCCTGTACATCAGATCGATTCGTACGTAGAACACTACGCATCATTGAAGCCACTAGTCATGGGCGAAACCCTAATCGCTGCGAACAACAAAGCTGTGTGAAGATAGCCGTGTATAATGCGCAAATAATGAGCGGAAATCTAATGAGAAAGACAGTGGCATACACACGAGCGAGCACGCGCGTGACTGTGTGTGAGTGTATGCGTGCGTACGTGCGTGTGCTCGTGCGTACGTGTGCGTGCGTACGTGTGCGTGCGCGCGCTTCTGTTTGCTAGATTCACGGCCGTAGAAGAATGCTTACACGACGTCAGGTTTGGTAACTAGAGCGTATCCTGTCCACGCGGCCACCCCTACACAAGNACGCGCACACACACGCGCAACTTAATTATAAAAATATCGACGTCACTTGGTCGAACGGCACTTTCCTCATAACAGAGGGCGCTGTCTGCATCATATAGATTTCTCCGCTATGGATTCCAACGAGAGTTCCCGTACGCCACCATCCGAAAGCTTTCCCTCCAGCCAGTATGTCTTCATCGTTCCCTTACCCTATCAAACGCAAAATATTACTTCAATTATCTAAATATTTGACAGCCTGGCTATCCAGCACGATTACAGACAATTGATCCATTTACCTGGCGCGATTTGCTGGCAGCTTTACCCGATCTGTGTAGAGATAGGACAGTGGAAAAGACAAGGATTGGCACCAAAGTGCAGCAAGGTCTAGACAGTTTGACGTGCAAGCGTAAAAAAACGTATAAACTGGTCTAACCTGACGGTCTTAACAATAAACAGAGAGTGAGTGAAAGTGTGTGAGAAAGTAACAGAGACAGACACACACAGAGAGAGAGACAGAGAGAGTGAGGGAGAGAAAGAGCGAGCGAGAGAGGAAGACACGAGAAAGAGAGAGAGGGAGAGAGGCCGAAATAGAAGAGAGAGAGAGAGAGAGGAGGGAGAGATAGATAGATAGATAGATAGATAGATAGATAGATAGATAGATAGATAGATAGATGTAGATACGATATGATAGATAATATGATAGAAAAGGAGAGAAAAGAGAGAGATAGAAAGAGATAGACAGATAAGAGAGAGAAGAGAGAGAGAGAGAGAGAGAGAAAAGAAGAGAACGGGAGAGAGAGAGAGGAAAGAGAGAGAGGGAGAGAGAAAAAGATAGGGAGAGAGAGAGAGAGAGAGAGAGAGAGAGAGAGAGAGAGAGAAAGAGAGGGAGGGAGACACACAGAGAGAGCGAAAGAGAAAGAGATAGCGAGAGAGCGAGAGAGAGAGAGAGAAAGAGAGCGAGAGAAAGAGAGAGAGAGAGAGAGAGAGAGAGAGAGAGAGAGAGAGAGGGATAGAGAGAGAGAGAGAAAGAGAGAGAGAGAGATAGGGAGACTATAACGCTCTAATGAGCAAGAATTTTAATATTAACCCTACAGGGACACAGCGTCTGGGACACACTAACATGACACCGGCACACGATCCACTTATTGGCGTGCAGACCACGCTATGTCGCCGCCCACCTTAATCTCGACCTCTCCCCTCGGTGACGTCACGTATCCGCCTCTCAGCGTCAAATGCGCATGCGTAGCAGCCGTTATCTGCGCAGACAAAACACACTCTGTAGGCGTGAGGAAAACACGAAAACACGAAACACGAGAACACACGTGCGGGCGCGAGGACGCGTTGACAGACGCAGCGCCTACGACAAGAGACAAACAGGGTTAGTTTGTTGATTGCCTCTATAGCTATAGCTACAGAATAGTTTGGCTTCCTTGTTGTTAGGTTAGTCATAGTGGGTGCTAGCCGCCTAGCTCCCGCCATGATTCATGCGCTACCGTAATCACTGTAATTAACGCGCAACTAATTTAGCTGGCACGACGCTCGGTTCGCCCATCATCTTAAGGCGGTGGCAAGCAGCAGCAGCGGATTTTATCGAGAACTTGTTGACTTTTCATCTGGGTGTGGGGGCGGTGCTAGTGCGTACGTTCCCAGTGTATGCTCATACTCTTCAGAGCAGCTGCATGTGTGTGGGTGGAGGGGAAGCGCGTATGTATGTGTTTGTGCGAGCGCGATACTTGTTCGTGCGCGCGTGCGTGCGTGCGCGCGTGCGTGCGCGCGTTTGTGCGTGCGTGCGTGCGTGCGTGTGCGTCTGTGTGGGGGAAGGGTGCCGGTATATTAACTGTAGTTTCCCCGACAGCCGTGAGAGTTGCTCAGGTTCAAGCACAGCACGTGTATAGAGCTAGCCCCCGCCTGCTACGCGAGCATGCGTAACTCGAGACGCCCTCCCTACAATAAATCTATCATTTAATGCAAACGAACGCAAGCCCATCGGGTTTCTCGTCATGCTATATGACTCGTGATTGTATCATTAATCCAGCGGCGATGCTGATTTAGTAGCGGAATCTCAGTAACATGCAGCTGCACACGGGCAGGTATAAACACGGTCATTTTATTATGATCACACATCATACTTAAATAACAGGAGTGAATAACAATAGAGGAGAAATGACTAGCTCAACACATAAAAAATCAACATTTCCATGCCACGTTCGGAGCTACATAATTAGAAGAGATATCGATACACAAATTTAGGTGTGCAGTGCTATTTCTGACGTCAGGGTTGTTGGGTTTTGCGCGATAAAATTATGGGTAAATTTGGCATGGAAATGTTGAATTTCTTGTGTTTCGATCGAGTGAGTCATACTCCTCTATGATATTTAGTTTTGTAGCTACCCTGTTTTTTGACAAATACCATATACTACTACAACATTCCTGCTACGTGTATGTAGGACGGTAGCCACGTACGTGTATGTGGGACGGTAGCGACGTACGTGTATGTGGGACGGAGCGTCGGTATCGCGATGTGGGACGGTAGCCGACGTAACGTGTAATGTGGGAGGACGGTAGCCGACGTACGTGTAATGTGGGACGGTAGCGACGTACGTGTAATGTGGGACGGTAGTGACGTTACGTGTATGTGGGACGGGTAAGTGACGTACGTGTCAGTGGGACGATAGAAGCGTCGTACGTGTATGTGGGACGGACGGTAGCGACGTACGTGTATGTGGAACGGACGGTAGAGACGTACGTGTATGTGGGACGGTAGCGACGTACGTGTATGTGGGACGGTAAGTGACGCTACGTGTGTATTGACGGTAGCCGACGTACGTGTATGTGGGACGTACGTCCGTACGTGTAATGTGGGACGGCGGTAGCGAACGTAACGTGTATGTGGGACGGTAGCGACGTACGTGTTATTGTGGGGCGGTAAGTGACGTACTGTGTATGTGGGACGGACCGGTAAAAGCGACGTACTGTATGTGGAACGGACCGGTAAGAGACGCGTACGTGTATGTGGAACGGTAGCGACGTAACGTGTATTGGGACGAGTAGCAAACGTACGTGATATGTGGGACGGTAGCAACGTACGTGTATGTGGGACGGCGTAGCCGACGTACGTCAGTATGATGGGGACGGACCGGTAGCGACGACTGTGTATGTGGGAGGTAGCGACGTACGTGTATGTGGGGACGGTAGCGACGTTACGTGTATTGGGAAACGGTAGCGACGTAACGTTAAATGTGGGACGGTAGTGACGTACGTGGTAATGTGGAACGGACGGTAGCGACGTACGTGTAATGTGGAATCGGGACGGTAGAGACGTAACTGTGTAATGTGGGACGTAAGCGACGTACGTGTATGTGGGACGGTAGCGACGTACGTGTATGTGGGACGGTAGCGTCGTACGTGTATGTGGGACGGACGGTAGCGACGTACGTGTATGTGGGACGGTAGCGACGTACGTGTATGGTGAAGAAGTAGTGACGTACGTGTATGTGGGACGGACGGTAGCGACGTACGTGTATGTGGAACGGACGGTAGAGACGTACGTGTATGTTGGGAACGGTAGCGAAACGTACCGTGTATGTGGGACGTCAGCCACGTACGTGTATGTGAACGGACGGGTAGCAACGCTGTACGTGTATGTGGGGAGCGGTAGCGACGTACGTGTATGTGGGACGGCTAGCGGACGTACGTGTATGTGGACGGTAGTGACGTACGATGTATGTGGGAAGCGGACGGTAAGCGACTACGTGTATGTGGACGGATAGCGACGTAACTGTATGTGGGACGGTAGCGACGTAACGTGTATTGTGGGACGGTAGCACAGTAACGTGTAATGGGAGACGGTAGCGACGGTAACGTGTATGTGGGACGGTAGCAACGTACGTGTAAAATGTGGAACGGTAGCGACGTACGTGTAATGTGGGACGGTTAGCGACGTACGTGGTATGGGTGGGACGGAACGGTAGCGACGTACGTGTATGTGGGACGGTAACGACGTACGTGTAAATGTTGGGACCGGTAGCGACCTAACGTGTATGTGGGACGGTAAGCAACGTAATGTGATTGTGGGACGGTAGCGACGTAACGTGTATGTGGGACGGTAGCGACCGATACGTGTATGTGAACGGACGGTAAAGCGACGTACGTGTATGTGGGACGGTGAACAGTGACGTGACGTGTAATGTGCGGACGGTATGTGACGTACGTGTATGTGGGACCGCGACGGGTAGCTGACGTAACGTGTAATGTTGCGGAAACTGGACGGTAGAGACGTACTGTATGTGGGACGGTGCGACGTAACGTGTATTGGAACGGACGGTAGCGACGTAACGTGTATGTGGACGGTAGTGGCGTACGTGTATGTGGGACGGTAAGTGAGACGTACTGTATGTGGGACGCACCGGTAGCGACGGTACGTGTATTGGGACGGTAAGCGACGTAACGGGTATCGTGGGACGGTAGTGGACGTAACGTGTATGTGGACGTAGCGACGTAACGTGTATGTTGGGAACCGCAGGACGACGTACGTGTATGGTTTGAACGGTAGCCACGTACGTGTATGTGGAAGGGTAGCGGCGTAACGTGGTAGTGGTGAGGCGGTAGCGCCGTACGTGTATGTGGTACGGGTAGCGACGTAACGTATATGTGGGACGTAGCGACGTACGTGTATGTGGGACGTAGTGATTACGTGTATGTGGGACAGTAGTGACGTGTATAGTTAGAGTGGGAGGTAGCGGACGTTACGTGTATGTGGGATCGGTAGCGTCGTACGTGTATTGGGACGGTAAGCGACGTACGTGTATGTGGGAACGGACGCCGTACTGTGTATGTGGACGCAACGGTAAGCGACGTTACGTGTAATGTGGACGGTAACCACGTAACGTGTGAGTGGGAGGGTAGCGGCGTACGTGTATGTGAGGCGGCGTAGCGCCGTACGTGTATGTGTTACGGGTAGCGACGGTACGTGTATGTGGGACGGTAGCGACGACGTGTAGTGTTGACGGTAGCGACGTATATGTAATGTAGGATGGAGCGGTAGCAACCGTACGTGTATGTGGGACGGAACGGGTAGCGACGAACGTGTATGTGGGACGTAGGCGTACATGGTTATGTAGGATGGAACGGTAAGCGAACGTAACGTGTATGTGGAACGGGACGGTAGAGAACGTACGTGTAGATTGTGGGACGGTAGCCGTCGTGAACGTGTATGTGGACTGGACGGTAGCGACGTACGGTGTATGTGGAACGGACGGTAAGAGACGTAACCGTGTAATGTTGGACGGTAGCGAACGTACGTTATGTGGGACCGGTAGTGAACGTAGCGTGTATGTGGGACGACGGTAGCGACGTTACGGTGTATGTGGACGTAGCGACGTACGCTGTATGTGGGACGGTAGCGAACGTACGTGTATGTGGGACGGGGTAGCGACGTACGTGTATGTGGGAACGGTAAGTGACGTACGTGTATGTGGGACGTAGCGGGCCGTACGTGTATTGTGGGACGGTAGTGACGTACTGTATGTGGGAACGGTAGTGACGGTACGTGTATGTGGAACGTAGAAAGCGACGGTAAACGTTTGTATGTGGGACGGTAGCGACGTAACGTGTATGTGGACGGTAAGTGACGTACGTGTAAGTGGGTGCGGTAGCGACGTACGTGTATGTGGACGGACGGTAGCGACGTACGTGTAATGTGGACGGTAAGCGTGACGTACGTGTAAGGTGGACGGTAGCGACGTACGTGTTATGTGGGACGGTAGCGACGTACGTGTATGTGGGAACGTGTAGCAACGTACGTGTATGTGGGAACGGTAAGGTGGCCGTACAACGTGTATGTGGAGGGTAGCGGCGTACGTGTAGTGTTGAGGCGGTATGACGTACTGGTTGTAACGGTAGCAACGTACGTGTATGTAGGACGGTAGTGACGTACGTGTATGTGAGGCGGTAGTGACGTACGTGTATGTGGGACGGTAGCAACGTACGTGTATGTGGGACGGTAGCGACGTACGTGTATGTGGGACGGTAGCGACGTACGTGTATGTGGGACGGTAGTGACGTACGTGTATGTGGGGCGGTAGTGACGTACGTGTATGGGGGACGCACGGTAGCGACGTACCTGTATACGGGACGGTAGCGACGTCGACTCCATGCGCGACGCCGTGTTTACCGTGTCGCCGAACAGACAGTAGCGTGGCATCTTCAAGCCGACAACACCGGCCATCACCGAGCCGCTGGCGACGCCGCAGCGCAGCACGACGTCTTGTTCCGGTACGTGCGGCACGCAGACGCGCCGCGCGACGAACTCGAGCGCCATGTTGGCGATGTGCGCCGCGTGGTGGCGCGTGCGTCGCGGCAGACCCGAGATGACCATGTAGGCGTCTCCGATCGTCTCCACCTTATAGACGTCATGGTTCTCAATAATCGAATCGAAGTGAGTGTAGACGTGATTGAGCAGGTTGACGACCTGTAGAGGTGACGACGCCGCCGACAGCGACGTAAAACCGACGATGTCCGAGAAGAAGACGCTGACGTCTTCGAAGTACTCCGGCTCCACCTGGCGGCCGCTGGACAGCTTCGCAGCGATCTCTGGCGGCAGCATGCTTCCGAGCAGCTTCTCCATGTTGCTCGTGACTTGTGCGAGCTCGGCGGTGCGCTCAGCGACTTTCTCCTCCAGCTGCAGCGTGTACTCTTCGAGCGCCAGCATCATATTGTCGAGCAGGCTCTTCTTCGTCGGGTTGCACGCCTTCAGTCGCTTGCCGATGTGTGAGAACGTCGGCCGAGTGCTCGCCTGGTCGTGCCAGCACGACTCGACGACGTAGAATACGTTACGTGGAATGTGCTTCGCGTACGCCGGCCGCAGGTAGCGCGCGCCGACGGCGGCGACAATGTCCTGCAGCGACATCGTGCTGCCGACGTCATCGTAGGCGTCGCCACGCATGAAGATTTCGTAGGCGAGGATGCCGTAGCTGTAGACGTCGTCGGGCTTGGCGAGGGCGTGCAGGCTGCCCCGCTGCGCCGCCACCAGCCGCTCGGGTGAGTGGTAGAGCAGGTGGCGCTCACTCGTCAGCTGGCTGCGCGCCTCATCGTCGTTCTGCTGCGGGTAGACGGCGTCGCGACGTCGCGCTCCGCGCCGCAGTGCCGCGTTCCAGCGCGCGTACTCCCAGTCGGCGACCTTCACGTTCCAGCGGATGTCGATGAAGCAGACCTGCGGTCGCAGCATGCCATGCACGATGCCGATGCCGTGTAAGTACGCCATGCCCGCAGCGACGTCGGCAGCCAGCGAGAAGAGGAACGGCGCGTCGAGGTTGTAGCGCTGAGAGCGCAGCACGTCGGCGAGCGCGCCCTTCGCGCAGCACTCCGACACGAGCCTGTACTCGTCGGCTTGCACCGTCGCCCCGTAAAAGCGCATCACGTTTACGTGCGTCACGCCGTCCTTGAACCAGATCAACGTGCGACGCGCTTCTTTGCTGAGCGACGCAGCCAGCTTGACGCTGGTCGGACGCAGGAAGACGCGCTCGTCGCGGTAGAGCGCGACGACGAACGGCGTTGCCCGCTCTGGCTGCCGCAAGCTGCCGCTGCTGCTCACCGGGGTGCCGTCGCCAAGGACTCTCTGTGAGATGAGCGAGACGAAGGTGTTGATGGGCTGGATGTCTTCGGGCGGGATTCGCCACTCGCTGCGCATCAGCGCGCGGTTGGTGCGCACGTAGACGTGGCCCAGGTAGACGGCCATCGCGATGACGGTGGCGGCGATCAGCGGCACCAGCACGAACACAGGCACGCGCCACTTCTGCTGCTGCACGACCTCCCAGTGTCGGTCGGCCTGCACCAGCTCCCACATGACAGCCCCGCCGCAGCTGACGCGAGACAACACGTGATCGTGCACCGCACTGCGCACGCGCTCGCCGAGCGGGGTCAGGCCGAGGTCGCTCGCCAGAGTGCGCGCCGACTCGTCGTTCATGAACCAGTCTATGTAGCGGATAAGTTCCTTGCACGCGTCGCACTTGGTGTCCGTATCCATTCTGATGATAAAGTAGGTGTAACCTAGAAGAATATATATATATATATATATCAGGAGTTAGTAAAGACAAATTTGTCTTCATTAACTCCTAATATATATATATATACTAGCGGGATACCCGGCGTTGCCCGGGAAAATCAGTGGCGTTACTCAGTTGGTGACCGCTTGGTTGAAAAGAAAATACCCCAAAAAATCCAACTATCTATCCCATTCCATGCCATCCCAATCCATCGCACCGCATCCCATCCCATCCCATCCCATTCCATATCTCATCCCATCTCATCCCATCCCATCTCATCGCATCTCATGCCATCCCATGCCATCCCATGACATGCCATGCCATGCCATGCCATGCCATGCCATGCCATCCCATCCCATCTCATCCCATCCCATCCCATCCCATCCCATCGCACCGCATCCCATTCCATCCCATCCCATCCCATCCCATCCCATCCCATCCCATGCCATCCCATGTCATCCTATCCCATCCCATCCCATCCCATCGCATGCCATCCCATGTAATGCCATCCCATCCCATCCCAAATAGTAAAAAATAATAAGAAATCAAAAGATAAAAGACATTAAATATAAAAAATTTAAAGTAAAAATTCAAAAATTCAAAATAATACATACTAAAGAGGTAGGTAAAGGGAAAAAAAGAAAAAAGGGGAAAATACGTTCCCAGCTAGGACTCGAACCCGGAATCCCGGTGTAGGAGACGGATGTTCTAGCGACTAGGCCACTGCGCCGTTAAGAGTATACCTCATAGATTCACACGTACGTGATGTTAATCTGTACGCACCGCCATCTGTTGATGAATAGAATTTTTATGCATTTTTAACTTTTTTACTTTATTAAATTTTGGTTTCAGCCAGAACCACCTCCCAGACGTGCTGATCCTGAAAATATCTTTAGTTTTCCTCTAGGCTACGGAGTTCTCTAGTTATGCGAGTACGGACTAATTCGGCTGAACAACTTTATATATAACTTTAAATTTTCCATTACACACTATAAAATAGTTGATTACAGGTGACGGACCTCTCTTACACGTACGGAATGACGTCATTTAATCTCTACCTACTACAAATCACACGACCCACCGATCATTATTTGGCAGACTGCCAAGCGCCTACAGCGCCACCTACCGACTGCAAATCACACGACCCACTGATCATCATTTGGCAGACTGCCGAGCGCCTACAGCGCTACCTACCGGAGATCGGGTACGCGTCAGCGGTGCCTGGGTCGACAAGGTCGGTGGTGAAATGTTTGTCGAAGCTGTCGGAGTAGTACTCAGCCGCCAGCTGTACGGACTCGAGCGTCGGAAATACGAAGTTAAACTGCCTCGAGGCGATAGCCGCCATCGGCAGCTGAGCCTGGTGAATACAGAAATACAGTAGGTATGCAGGCGTCGTCATAGTGATGTGACATCAACATTAACGTAGCCTTTTATATAGCGTCACTTGCTAGCCTATCGCTCATGCCGGATTCTCCTGCACTACGATCTTTCATCCCTGTCGACCCCCTCTGTCCTGCCACACCCCTCACTCATGTTGCCTCCCTCACCCCTGTCATTTACTCTCACCTCATACCCCTTGATCCTCGTCGCAGCCACTAATCACTGTTGATCCCCCGCATCGCTCTCCTACCCCACATCCCTGTAAGTCCCTGCATCACTGTTTTATCCCACATCCCTGTCGGGTCCCCTCATCCCTGTCCTACTCCACATCCCTGTCTTACTCCACATCCCTGTCCTACTCCACATCCCTGTCATACTCCACATCCCTGTCGGTTCCCTGCATCCCTGTCCTACTCCACATCCCTGTCCTACTCCACATCCCTGTCCTACTCCACATCCCTGTCCTACTCCACATCCCTGTCCTACTCCACATCCCTGTCCTACCCCTCATCCCTGTCCTACTTCCAATACCCTCTCCTACTCCACAACCTGTCCTACTCCACATCTGCTGTCCATACTCATCCCTGTCCTACCTCCACATCCCTTGTCCTATCTCCACATCCCTGTCCTACTCCAACATCCTTGTCTACTCCACATCCCTGTCCTACTCACATCTCTCTGTCCTACCCTCATCCCTGCTCCTACTTCCTCCCCTCATCATCTCCCTGTCCTACTCCACATCTCTGTCATACTCCGACATCCCTGTCCTACTCCCCCCATCCCTGTCCTACTCCACATCCCTGTCCTACTTCCACATCCCTGTCCTACCTCCACCATTCCCTGCTCCTTACTCCACATCTCTGTTCATTACTCCAATCCCTTGCTCCTACTCACATCCCTGTCCTACTCCAACATCCCTGCTCCTACTCCACATCTTGTCCTACTCCACGATCCCTGTCCTACTCCACCCATCCCTGTCCTACGTCCACATCCCTGTCCTACTCCACATCCCTGTCCCCTATTCCACATGCCCTGTTCCTACTCCACATCCCTGTCCTACTCCACATCTTCTGTTCATACATCCACATCCCCTGTCCGTACTCCACATCCCTGTCCTACTCCACATCCCTGTCCTACTCCGAATCTGTCCTACTCCATCATCCCCGCTGTCCTACCTCCACATCCCCTGTCCTAACTCCACATCCTGTCCTACCCCTCATTCTCCCTGTCCTACTCCACATCCCTGTCCTACTCCACATCCCTGTCCTACTCCACAATCCTGTCCTATCCACATCTCTGTCGGTTTTCCGCATACCCTGTCAGTTCCCCTGTATTCCGCTGCTCCTACCCCTTACTGTCTCTTTCGGTTCCCGACATCCGGCCCTACCCCTATCCCGATGCCCCACCCCTCATTCCTGGTCCTACCCCCAACATCCCTGCTCCTACGCTCCTCATTCCCTGTCAACTTTCCGCCACATCCCTGTCCTACCCCGTCGTCTCTTTCGGTTCCCGCGCATCCCTGTTCCATTACCCCTCATCCCTGTTGGTTCCCGCCACATCCCGCCCCCACCCCAGACCCTATTCTACTCTCACATCCCCGTCGAGTCTCCGCAATCCCTGTCCTACTCTCATCCCGTTGCGTTCCCGCAAGTCCCCTGCCCCACCCATCAGCGCCCTATTCTACTCCACATCCCTGTCGCGATCTTTCGCCATTCCTAGTCCTACCCTCGCGTCTCTTCGGTTTCCCGCACATCTCTGTCCTTACCCTCGCTCTCTTTCGGTTCCCGCTACATCCCGTGTCCTACACCCTCATCCCTGTCGATTCCCCGCAACATCCCTGTCCTACTTCTCATCCCTGTCGATTCCCGCACATCCGATGTTGCCTTACCCCTCATCCCTGCCACCTACCCCTTATCCCTGTCCTACCCCTCATTCCTTGTCCGATTGTCCGCCACCCCCCTGTTCCTACCCCTTCATCCCTGTCGATCTCCGCGATACATCCAATGTCCTTACCCCTTATCCCTGCCGCCCTACCCCCTTTTTATCCCTGGTCCTACCCCTCATCCCTGTCCGATTCCCGCACACTCCATGCTCCTTACACCTCATCCCTGCCCTTACCCTTTATCTATGGTCTACCCACTTCATCACCTGTCGATTTCCGCACATCCCTTCCTCACCTCGTCTTCTTTTCGGTTTCCCGCTACATCCCTGTCCTACCCTCATACCCTGTCGATTCGGGGGCCGCCCACGTCCGCGTTGGGGCCTACCCCTCATTCCTGTTGCGTTTCCCGCCACATCCCTGCCCCACCCCCTCATCTCTTGTTTCCTACCCCTCATCCCTGTCGATTCCCGCACATCATGTCCTGACCGCTCATCCATGTCCTACCCTCATCCCTTTCCTACCCTTATGCCCTTGCCCTACCCTCATCCTTGTTGGTTTCCGCCTTATCCTTGTATATCTCCTTCATTCCCTGTCGGTTCCGCAACATCCCTGTCCCCTAACCACATCCCTGTCCCACCCCCTCATCCCCTGTCCTACCCCTCATTCCTTGTCCCACCCGCTCATCCCTGTTCCTTACCCTCATCCCTGTTCCTACGCTCCTTCATCCCTGCCCCTACCCATTATCCCGTGTCCGGTTTCGCCGCACATCCCCGTCCATACTCTTCATCCCTTGTCCTACCCGCTCCTCTCTGTTAGGCTTCCCCGCACCTGTGTCCTACCCCTATTTACTCCCCTGTCGCCCGTTCCCCGCATCTCCTCCGTCCTACCCCACGCATTCCATTGCCGATTCCGCCACATCTCTCTGTTCTAACCTCATCCCTGTCCGCCGTCCGCACATCCATGTCCACCCCTAAATCCCTGCCCTCCCCTTATCCCTGTCCTACCCCTCATCCTGTGTCGATTCCGCACATTCCCTTATCCTTAACCCCCTCCCCCTTGTGCCTAACCACTACATCCCAGTTCACTTTCCGCCCACATCCCTTTCCTTACACACTCGTCCTTTTCGGTTTCCCGTACATCCCGTTCCTACCCCTCGATCTCTGGTCGCATTCCCGCACCATCCCTATCATACCCCCTCACTCCTCGTATGGTTCCGCCACATCCTTGCCCACCCCTCATCTGTGTCCTATTCCCCTCATCCCACTGTCGATTCCCGCCATCCCCATGTCATAAGCCCCTCAGTTCGCGCCTGTCCTGACCCTGCATCAAATCTGCCCTACCCCTCATCCCTCGTCGGCTTTCCCTCATTCCTGTCCTACCCTTATCCCTGTCCCTACCCCTCATCCTGCTCTGGTTTCCCTCATCCCTGTCACTACCCCCCTCATCCCGTCGCGTTTCCCGCCACATCCGCCTGTTTCTTCCCTCTACCCCCCCTCAACATTTTTTTTCCCCCCTGTCCCACGCCCTCATTCCTGTCCTACCCCTCATCCCGTTTCCCACCCTTCATCCCTTGCCTAACCCTCATCCTGTCGCTTACCCCTCATTCCTGCCCTACCCAATTCCTCCCTGATCGTATCCCGCACATCACCGTCCTCTCTTCATCCTGTCCTACCCCTCATCCCTGTCGGTTCCCCGCATCCCTGTCCTACCCCACATCCATGTCGGTTCCCGCACATCTCTGTTCTACCCCTCATCCCTGTCGGTTCCCGCACATCCCTGCCCTACCCCTCATCCCTGCCCCAGCCCTCATCCCTGTCGTTTCCCTCATCCCTGTTCTCTCCCAACATCCCTGTCCTACCCCTCATCCCTGCCCTACTCCATATCCCTGTCCTACCCCTCATCCCTGTCAATTCCCGCACATCCCTGTCCTACTCCTCATCCCTGTCGGTTCCCGCACATTTCTGTCAGTTCCCGCACATCCCTGGCCTACCCCTCATCCCTGTTAGTTCCCGCACATCCCTGTCAGTTCCCGCACATCCCTGTCCTACCCCTTGGCTGGCTTCCAGCGCGTCGGCGAGAGAGACGTAGGTGATCGTGCCGACGATCGACATGACGATGCCAGTGACACCTAGCGACTTCGTTCCGTAGTAGCTGATGACGCTGTCGTTCCAGCGTGAGACGTCATCTTTGTTCTGACCTTCGCTGAATTTTCCGAAGGTCGTGTTCCAATGTGGCGAGAAGGCGCTTAGCGCATGCGTGAAGATTCCCGTCGTTCCTGAGTCGTCTGCGCGCACGACGACCTGCAGCAGAACAATGCGTGAGCTCCCTCGTTTCCGCTTCCGGAACGCTACTGTGTTATTTCATTATAAATGACGGAAGAGAACGACGAAAATGTTAGGTGGCCGATTCACCGTGTGGTGTCTACGTTCATAAGCGATGGTGGTGTTAGACGTGTACACGCGCAGATGCATATGCAGTAAGACAAGCACGCACGCACGCACGCACGCGCGTAGGTGCATAGACACTGGCACGCACGCGCGTACGCGTTGTCCGCCCGCCCGCGTGCGAGCACGCATGCGTGTATTCTATCGCGTGCGCCTGTGAGGGTCATTCTACATTTAGCAGACAACAAACGTTTATTTGCTTTTAGTAATTTGGCTGGTGCAGAACTGTGGGTCAATCTCGAGCGCGTGCACTTCCTCATATCAGCAATTATCGATCGTGTCGTGTATCTTCTGCTGCTGCTCGATGTACGAGATTCGCTTAGCGTTGGTTACGGGCAGTCTAGTGTTACTTAGTTAGATCTAGGAGGGAGAGGGCAGCAGAAATACCGACAGCAAAGCGAGGACAGACATCATAGCTACTGCTAGGCTAGTTGCGTCTAACCTTGGAGTAATCATTCTGATGTAATGATCAATGGAGTAACCAATCAGAATGATTACGCCAAGGTTAGACGCAACTAGCCTAGCAGTAGCTATGATGTCTGTCCTTGCTTTGATGTCGTTATTTCTGCTGCCCTCTCCCTCCTCCCTTCTTCCCTCCTCCCCCTCATCGCTATCACCCCCTAGTGATCCTGCTATAGGGTTTCAGGCAGCTTCTCTTCTTTGTTGCGTGAGTCGTTTCTGCCATGACGAGCAGATAACGCGTGCGTGCGGTCCGCTGCCTCATTCCATTTGCGCGTGAGATGTCTGAGACTAAACGAATGAACTCAATGCTGATTGAATTCAATTACAAGATCCCCGTCTCTCGGCCCGCCGTGCGATTGCCACCTAATCCGAATTCAAGCAGAAAAAAAGAGAAAGTGAAAACAGAGAGAGAGGGGGAGAAAGAGAGAGAGAGCGAGAGAGAGAAAAATAAAGAGAGATAGAGAAAGTAAAAGAGAGAGAGAGCGAGGGGAAGCCGTCAGCAAGAGAAAATGACTTCGAATGTTATCGGCATTTCCTTCGTGAAAATCTTCGCAGTCCGTGGTCGAAAGTGGCAAAGACAACACAATGCCGGATCGACCAAATAAATGGTTAACTTCTACGATTTTCAACCTCGCCGTGGGCCATTCAACCAAACTGCATTCA